TGAGCACTCACAATGTGCTAGGCACTGGGATAAGGGCTGGTCTGAGTTATACACTCATGGAGCTTCAGGGTAGTGATGCTTGCTTGCAGATTGTTGAAACTATATTAAATCTGAATTCCAAAGTTCTACTCTAAGTTCAATTTTTTTCCTCAAATTTTTACCAGTTGTTCTTTTATGTAGTTTTATGCTATCTTACTTAGCTTGTTATACTTTCATTACATAGTATACTTTTGACCCATATGCCCTAACTTTATCAATCTCTTTGTTGCTTTTCTCCTCTGAAACCCCTTCTTTTCTCTCTGGAAATATATAAAGTGGCTAGCACAAGCCAGGCACTGCTCTAGACATTGGGAATGCTATGACAAATAAGACATAGGTTCTGTTCTCAAGAAACCCTCAAACTGGTAGGAAAGACTTGCCTAGAAGCAAATAATTATACTGAAATATATATATGTTAAGTATCATACTACAGACAATAAACAGCTGTGGAGGAATGGAAGGAAGGGCTATTCATTCTTTCTGGTGAAGGGTTTACTGAGAATGTGATATTTGATGTAGGCTTAAAAGATGGGTAGGATTTACTATGTAGAAGGAAAATGAGCCAAGACAAAAATACGTGAAATGTTCAGAAAATACAGAGTAGTTCAGCTTACTACTTCAGATTGTACAGTACATGGTGGTAATGGTTAGAGATAAGGCTGAAAAGATTAATTAGGCTCAGAGTGTGAGGGGTCTTTGTAGGCCTGCATGATGGACCAATCAGCTATTAATTGTATGGGTAGGTGTTGAACAGCCTGACTGAAAGCCTGGGTCCAAAAACATATGGCCAAGTACAGCTCTTCCCTCTGTAGGGCAGCCTTCTAGACATTACTAAAGTACTGTGCTCACTTTTTGCCTCCATGGTTACCTCAGACAGATCAATCCTTGAGGAAACCAAGACATTGCACTTACTAAACAAATACTGCACAACAACGGTCTTAAAAATACTCAAAGAGCTAAAGGAAAACATAAACAAAGAACTAAATGAAATCAATAAAATGATGTATGAACCAAACAAGAATATCAATAAAGAGACAGAAATTATTAAAAAGGGACCAAAAGAAATCCTAGAGCTGAAAAATAGAATAACTGAAATGAAAAATTCACCAGCAGGTTCAACAGCAGATTTAAGAATCAGTGAACATGATGATAGGACAATTGAAATTATCCATTCTGAGGATCAGAAAGAAAAAAGAAAGAGTAAACATGAACAAACCTTAAGGGACCTGTGAGATACCACCAAGAAGACAAACATATGTATTACTGGAGTACCAGAAGGAGAAAAGAGAGAGAAAGGGACAGAAAGAATATTTGAAGAAATAATGGACTCAAACTCCCCAAATTTGATGAAAGACATGAATCTACACATACAAGAAACTTAAAAAGCTCCAAGTAGGATAAACTCAAAGAAATTCACACAAGGACACATTTACTCATACTGTCAAAAGCCAAAAACAAAGAAAATCTTGAAAGCAGCAAGAGAGAAACAACTCATCATGTACAAGGAATTCTCAATAAGATCAACAGCTGACTTCTCATCATAAACCATGGATGACATGCTTAAAGTGCTAAAAGAAAAGAAAACTGTCAACCAAGAACACTATACCTGGCAAAACTGTTCTTCATAAAATGAGGGAAAAATTAACACATTCCCAGATAAACTAAAGCTGAAGGAGTTTGTTTCAACTAGACCTGCCCTACAAGAAATGGTGAGAGATCTCCGGTAAAGGTAACCACATAGGCAACTATAAAAATCAGTATTATTGTACTTTTCGTTTGTAACTCCAGTTTTTAAGTACTATATGATTTAAAACCACATGATCTTCTCAGTTGACTTAAAAGGGCATTTGATAAAATCCAACACCCTTTCATGATCCAAAGTACTCAGCAAACTAAGACAAGGAGGGAAATTCCTTAACATGATAAAGGACATCTAGAGTATCTGGGTGGTGCAAATGGTTAATGTACTTGGCTGCTAACTGAAAGGTTGTAGGTTCCAGTCCACCCAGAGGCACCTCAGAAGAAAGGCCTAGTGATCTACTTCTGAAGCATCAACCACTGAAAACTCTATGGAGCACATATATGGGGTCACCATGAGTTGGAATCAACTTGACGGCAACTGGTTATAAAGGGCATTTGTGAAAAACCCACAACAAACATCATACTCAATGGTGAAAGACTGAAAGCTTTACCCCTAAGATCAGGACTAAGAAAGGATGCCCACTTTCACGACTCCTATGTAACATTGTACTGGATGTCCTATTCAGAGCAGTTAGGTAATAAAAAGAAATAAAAGTCATTCAAGCTGGAAAATAAGAAGAAAAACTATCTTTATTCATAGGTGGCATGGTGCTATATGTAGAAAATCCTCAAGAACCCACAAGAAAGGTACTAGAGCTAATAAATACATTCAGCAAAGTTGTAGGGTACAAGATAAACCCACAGAAATCAGCTGTGTTTCTATACACCAGCAAAAAAAATCTAAAAATGAAATTAAGGAAATCATTCCTTTATAATAGTATCTAAAATAAAAAAATACCTGGGAATAAATTTAACCAAAGATGTGAAAGACTTTTACATCAAAACCTATAAAACACTGCTGAAAGAAATTAAAGGAGATTGAAATAAATGGAAAAATATCCATGTTCATGGATTGGTAAACTTGGTATTGTTAAGACATCAATTCTGCTGAAAGCGATTGACAAATACAATGCAATTCTTATTAAAGTCCCAACAGCCTTTTTTTTCCCCACAGAAATGGAAAAGCTGACCCTCAGTTGCATATGGAATAGCAAGGAGCCACTAATAGCCAAAACAATCTTTGAAGAAAAAGAACAAAGTTGGAAGACTTACACTTCCCTATTTAAAAATGTACTACAAAGTTACAGTAATAAAAACAGTGTGGTACTAGTATCAAGATCAACAAATAGCAATGGAATAGAATTGAGAATCCAGAAATAAACCCACATATCTATGGCCAATTGATTTTTCATAAGAGTGCCAAGTCCATTCAATGGGAGGAAGAATAGTGTCGTCAACAAATGGCACTGGAACAACCAGATTTCCAAATGTAAAAAAAAAGAAGCAGCTGGACCCACACCTCATGCCATAAACAAAAATTAACTCAAAATGGATCAATGAGCTAAATATAAGAGCTAAAACCATAAAACTTAGAAGAAACATAAGGGTAAATATTTATGACCTTGAATTTGGCAAAGCACTCTTAGATATGATGCCAACAGCATGAGCAACAGGAAAAAAAATAGGTAAACTGGATCTCATTAAAATTTAAACTTCTGTGCATCAAATGCCATTATTAAAAAAGTGAAAAGAAAACCTACAAAACTGGAGGAAATATTTAGAAACCATATATCAGATTAAAAAAACAAACCCAAACTTGCTGCCATCCAGTTGATTCTGACTCATAGCGACCCTATGTATTATAGTGTAGAACTGCTCCATCGGGTTTTCTTGGGTGTATCACATAAGAGTTTAATATCCAGAATATAAAACAACTCCCACAACTCAACAACAAAAAGAAAAACAAACAAACAAAAAGGCATAAGACTTGAATAGACATTTCTCCAAAGAAGAAATACAAATGGCCAATAAGCACATGAAAAGATGCTGAACATCATTAGTCATTAAACCAAAAAAAAAAAAAAAAAACCCGTTGCCGTTGAGTCGATTCTGACTCATAGCGACCCTACAGGACAGAGTAGAACTGCCCCATAGGGTTTCCAAGGAAAGCCTGGTGGATTTCAACTGCCGACCTTTTGGTTAGGAGCTGAACTCTTAACCACTACGCCACCAGGGTTTCCATTAGTCCTTAGGGAAATGCAAATCAAAATCACAATGAGATACCACTTCATATCCACTAGAATGGCAATTATCAGAAAAACAGAAAATAACACGTGTTGGTGAGGGTGTGGAAAAATTTGAAGCCTCATGCATTGCCGGTAGGAATGAAAAATGGTGCAGTTCCTGTGGAAAACAGTTCGGTGGTTTCTCAAAAAGTTAAACATAGAACTATATGATCCAGCAATTCCACTCCTAGGGGTATACTCAAAAGAACTGAAAGCAAGGACTCAAACAAATACTTGTACACCAAATATTCATTGAAGCATTATTCAGAACAGCCGAAAGGTGACAACAATCCAAGAGTCCATGAACAGATGAATGGATAAACAAAATGTGGTACGTACATAAAATCAGCCATAAAGAGAAATGAAATTCTATATGTGCCACAACATGGATGAACATTCAGCACATTATGCTAAGTGAAAGAAGCCAATCACAAAAGGTCATATATGATATGATTCCATTTACATGAAATACCTAGTGTTGGCAAATCCACAGACAGAAAGTAGATTAGTGGTTGCCAGGGGCTGGGGAATGGGAAGTGACTGATAATGGTACCAGAGTTTGGAGATGATGAAAAATGTTCGAAAATTAGATAGTGTCTGTGGTTGCATGACTCTGTGACTATATAAACACCACTGAAATTTATTTACATTTTGGACGGGTTAAATTTATGGTATGCAAATTATATCTCAATTAAAAAATCCATGAAGACTGAAAACAAAAAGAAAACCCAGAGTGGTGGCTACTCAGGCTTCCAGGTCATCATCTGGAGTCCTTCAGAAGTTCTTCAGAAGTCCTGCAGTGTCAGGCTCAGATAGGAAAGCCAGTAGAGGGCATGAAAGGGAGCATGCCTCGTTAATGGGCACAGAGGGCCTCAGAATTCCCCTTTCTGGAGGAATGACTGAGTAAAGCTCCTCAGGAAGAACCCCTGTAAGGGCTCTGTGGCAAGAAAGGAGTTCCTAATTCTCCCTTCCCTGCCCCTCTCCCACAGCCCTCCTTCATCTCCCTTTCTCCCCCAGACCTCTTTGGTTATCGGGCAGATGAGTCTCCTCTTCAAGACAGTCTCTCTGAAGAGGATGGGCTTGCAGCCCGGTCAGTCACAGGAAAACCAGCTCTTGTGTTTCTGAGCCGCCATACAGAGTCTTATGCTGGTCAAACAGCTTCTGCAAGGCGTGCATATAGAGTGCGTGGTATTTATCCACTATCTCCTGGCTTGGCTTTTCAATTTTGGGCAGTGGCAGAGGCTCCCCAACTGCCAAGGGAGATGGGAAAGGAAAAAGGGAAAGTGTTAGAATCCTCTTCCTTTAACTTCCTTTCCTTCCCTGGGCCTGACTCTTTCGTGTCCTGCCTGACCTCTCACGCCCCAAATCAGAGCCCAGCTTCTTCCACGCTGATGCTCTCTCTTCTGTGGTGGGTGCAGGGGTAGGGAGGGCTAAGGTTGAAGTTGAGAAAGAGCTGAGTTGGCCTTGGGACCGAAATCAGCACTCACCCACAGTGACGATAGGCCGAGCGTATGGCAGGAGTCCAATGGTGCCTTGGCGGAAGCTTCGTCCATAGAAGACACAAAAATAGAAACCAAAGATACCGCGGAACCAGCTCTGGAACTTGTACGTCCGGCTATCCTTAGGGAATAACACCTGCTCATACACCTCTGTCTCTCCAAAAGTGAAGGTGGGAACAAGATGAGCCCTGTACGAAAACCCTGATTCATTTCCCAGACACAGGCTAGGGGTGGGAACCACCCTGGAAGAACATTTGTTCATGTCCAGTCCTTCATCTATTGTGATAGAATCCCTGTGGCGTAAAGCATTTCTCCTTGTATCAAACAGGGCTCTCATATTTAGTGTCTCTTGTCCTGAAATTTTCAAGGCCAGTGAGAGTGCTATCTCTGGGCCAGGATCACACTGAGAAGATATGGGGGTGTTGAGAAGGAAGACGAGTCCCACCAGAGATCCCCAGAGACCCACATCCTGAAAAGAAAAGCTTCCAGTAGGCATCAGGGAGAGGAATATTTGACTCTGTTTTTATTAGCAGGAAGCACAGAGAAGATGATGATAACTTTGCATAGATGCATATATGAAATACCCCTCACCCAAGGAGTCTATGCATAAGGTAGTCTGTCCTTGGGTTGTGGGAGTAGAGCAGAGAAAAGTTGTTTACCCTCACAGGCCATGGATATCCATTGTGGCAGTGCCCTTGGTAGAGAATTAGGCTTCTTAAGTTTTCCTGTGAGAGAGGAGTAAAGAGAACACAGCCTCTCTCATATAACCTTTGTGAATTGCTAATAACAATCTCTCAGCACTTTGACATATGTTACCTTGCTGGCTCCTCACAACAAAGACAGTGGAGAACACAGAGGGGACTTATTTTCTTTATCTTACAGATACAGAAGCCCAGATTCAGAGGGGCAAGGTCACTCAGGCAGTCAGCGAGTGGCAGAATCTGCACTAGAACCCAGGACACCTTCCTCCCAGCTTAGCTGTCTCCTCTACATTATGCTCCAAACTAATGAATAGGAAAGGTCCTTAAAAGAAATACTTCCCTCTTCTCTGAGTCTGCAATAGGACAATTGTCCCTGGGTCCAGTGAGCTGGCCTGCTGACCTGATGGGGCATCACACAGATCCATCCTTGGGCTCCTGCTCTTTACCTTCCCTCTTTATCCCTAAGTCAGAGTAACTAACATCTATTGATCTCTTGAAAGGAGCCCTGGTGGTACAGTGGTTAAGCACTCGGCTGCTAACCAAAGGGTCGGCAGTTTGAGACCACCAGCCACTCCATCGGGAGAAAGATGTGACAGTCTGCTTCCATGAAGGTTTACAGCCCTGGAAACCCTATGGGACAGTTCTACTCTGTCCTGTAGGGTAGCTGTGAGTCAGAATCGACTCAACTGGCAGTGGGTTATTGATCTCTTACTGTATGCCGGGCACATAGTAAATGTTTTATGTGGATGAATTATTTTAAGCCCATGATAACCCTATAAAGTGGGTATAGTTATTAGTAGCTATCTCATAAAGATGAAAATACCAAGGCACAGAATGTTTAAGTAACCTGTCCCAGAGTGCATGGTAAGAAATGGAGTCAAGATTTTAAACCAGGCCCCTGACTCCAGATCCTAAACTCATAATCACTATACCGTACTGCCTCTTCTGCTTATCATGAACAGACAGATGTAAATATCAATATTGACAGAGATAATGTTGACATAATCTATATGCTAGGGCACCTCTAGCCTGATTCCCCTGATATTGAACTTGGGTTTATGGTTTGGCTTCCTGGGAACTGGCCCAACTAACTCAGAAGGAGTAGATGACGTAAAACTTTAAAAAATTCTACATCTATCTCCCCTACTCAATAGTAAGCTCCTTGAGAGCAAGACTCATGTCTGATTCATCTTGGCATCACCTACATTGTCATGTTGTTCGAAGGCCACCCAGTCCTCACCTGGGAGGAACACCTACCCGTGCTGGAGGGCTGTTCGCACAAACCCCTTGCGCTTCTGAAGGATGAGGTTGGTGGTGTTGGGCACGCTTTGCAGGGCCTCACCCACTCCTCCCACTACAATGCCCACGAGGTTGCCAGGGCCATGGCTCAGCAGGTAGTCAATGGCTGGCTGACTAACAGAGCACACACCTGAAAAGAATCATGAAGCAGACAGAGAAGCAAAATGAGCTGGAGGGGGAAAATCGCTGAGAGGGAGCACTCTCCTTTCTGCTCTTCACTAACTTGTTTGTATGCCCTCTGTTCCCATGGGTCCTAGGAGGAGAGGCTAAATGAGATGGGACTAAAGAGTGTGGAGAAAAAAAGACGGTGGGCAAACATAACAAGTTTCACTTTGAGGCAATGTCTCTACTTTGCAGGAGGCACTCAGTCAAAACTACAGTAGGAAGATTTTCAGTGGGATAACCAGAAGGATTTTCTGAATCCCTACTGTAGTTCTAACCCTTCCTTTTGCTCTATTGCTATTGAAAGCTCTAACTATTACTTATTGAGCACATATTTTGTGGCGGGTACTATGCTGAATACTTGCATTACCTCATTTAGTCATCATACGACATCTGAGATTGGACTATTCTCATCAGCACCAGTTTACAGAAGAGGAAACTGAGCTAAATAGAGGTTAGGTAGCTTGCCCAAGACCACACAGTAAGTGGCACAGCCAGGAGTCAAACCCAGGCAGTTTAGCTCCAGAACTTACACTTTTAACTACTTTGCTATGATAATAGGAGGGGTAGGAGATTTGGCTTATAAAGTTGCATCTCCAAACAAAGAAATAGACCAGAAGTTCCAAGAAGTGTGGTTAGAAGCACCTTCGGCCATGAGGTAGTCCCTAATAAGGGGGATCTTGAAGAACCAGGACAGCGTAGCCAAGTGAGAAGTGATGCCTGGGAAGATCTTCGAGAAATCTGTGGCCTCAGTGCAGAAGTTGCAGAAGGCACCAAAGGTCAAGAGGCCATGGGGGTGCACCCCCATGAGATAGTTGTGCTCAGGTGACAGGTCTTTAGTCTTCAGGATCTGCAGCCATGGAGAGAAATGCCAGGGGTGGTGGAATGAGATCACATGGGAAAGCAAATGTGAAGACACTTCAGGGATTAGAGTGCTCTCTAAAGCAAAGTTTTTCAACAGATATGCTATGAATGGGCTTTAAGGGGCTGAGATATTGGTCTTCTTAGCCTTTGGGTAACCAGGCAGTATTGGGGTGTCCAGAACACCTGGGTAGTGTCAGCCATTTGTGTCAGTGCACTTTATGCACGTTATCATTTTTATGAGTGCTGTTGTGTGAAAAAGTTGGGAAGCTCTGCTCTAGAGTACTCCAACCAAAAATGAGTAAAAATCGGGGCAGTATTTATTGTCTACTCCAAAGAGTACCCAGAGGATCAGCATAGCAGTACATTTCTAGAATCTCTTCCTGGTATTTTCTCCTCTCTAAGCCCCTTCCAATGCCTGCCTCAGTAATTTTTATTCAGCTTTGAAAATTCCACTTACATATCACCATGTCTGTGAAAACTTTCCTCATCCCCCAGAAAGAATTAATTCATTCTTCATCTGAACTACTTCTATACCTTGTACCAACCCATAATTATATACTTGTCTGTCCTCCCCATGAGATATGAACTCCTTGATGGCAGAGGACCATGTCCTATTCAGTCTCTGCACCCTAAACTTGTGGTACAGAGTTAGCTTTCAATGTTTGTTAAACCGAACTGAACTGTATTTGCGTTCTGCCTGTGTAATCTTGCAGGTTATGCTGCGGATGTCCAAAGTATCCTCGCACAGTATAGAGTGCCCAGGAGAAACGTTGGATCTAGCCGGGACTCAGACTTCTTTCGGATGCTCATCTTCCTTAGGAACAGCCCTAGCCATTTGACATAAATGCTAGTATTTTGGGAACTGTGAGGAACACCGGGGAAGAGACACTTACCGTAATGGGGAAATAGTCCCTGATGTGGGTCCAGACAGACCAGTTCCTTACCCAGGCTGAACGCCTGCCACCTGAGACAGAAATATGAGTAGGGGTGATGTCAGTGTGCCACTCCACATCTGACCCAGGGCTTCCCTAGCAGCATGGAGGGACCATGGCTCTGCTAGAGAGGTGGGAAAGGAAGAGACTCCAGAATGATCCTTCCTGACTGAACAAGCTCCTGTGTCTCTGAGAACTTGAGTAAGAGTCCTGTGGCATGATGAGGTAACGTGGAGCATTCTTAGTCCCTGTTCTGTTTAGGTCCATGAGTCTTACCTCGTTCAGGGGTCTTCCAGTCCAGGAACAACCAGACAAAGTAAAGCGCTGGTAACGGCCACAAGGATGTAAACAGCAGGTAAATGAACAATGGCTGCAAGATCAAAACTGACAATGGAGCAGGTCAGACCAAATTTGTGCTGCCAGCAGAACTTAAACATGTCCAGTCGATCGTCTCCTCCAAGCTACCCAAGCCTCTGGTCCTGGCCTTCTGCATAGTCCAGCCCCTGCTCATCCATCATCCATGTCCACTTTTCCTTCAAACATTTCCTTTATTATCTACCATACGCCAGCCCTATTTCTCTGCCTACTGTTATTCCTGTCCACCTGCCTCCCTACCCACACACCATCCGTCTACTCCTGCCCTCTGCCTGCCACTAGCCTTTTTCCCTTGCTCCCATTCATCCTCATGTTTTTCCTCATATTTCCTGTCCTCCTGTCCCTCTCCTTATCCACCATCCCTGAACCCTTGCTAAGCCACTAGACCACCTCCCTTGCCTATATACTATCCATACCTCCTTACACCCTACCCACCTAGCATCTCATCCCTCTACTGTTTCCCATCTAACAGTCCTGTCTTCTTGCCCACTCACCATTTCTTCCATTACCTCTGTTTTCCCCCATGCTACCACTGTACCCTCCAAGAATGGAAAACTCTATGGTTCAAACACAAGCTAGACCTCTATAAGTCTGTAATGCCAATATTTCTCTCCTGCTCCCCATGCTCCCTTATGATGATGGACATATCGTGCCCATTCCTTGGGTCTCATTTATCTCTCTCTAGAGAGGGAAATGTCTGAAATTAGCTAGGTCTACTCATATCCATCATGACCCTGTTTCACCTCCCTGTCTGTTTCCGCTGTCCCCTAGGGCTCTATCCCTTTCTTCTCCAGTGTACTCATGAAGCTCAAGACTCCTTGACTTTATTCTGTAATACCATCTCAGATGACCAAAGATCAGAGATGAAACTTTCCATGGCCTGGCCCTAGTCTTTGACTCTGGCTTTTTGCTGTTCACTTTTAGGTTGGTACTCACACATGGTAAGATAGCTCAAGGGCCACTGCAGAAGCATCAGACTCTGGAAGTGATTAGGCTGCTTGGAGCAAGGCATGGTGCCCAGGAGCCTGAGAGAGGTAAAGTCCCAGAACAGTTTCCCAGCCAAAGGTGCCGCCAGCCTCTGGAAGCTCGCTCAGTAGTGAACACATGTGGCTATGAGCAGTTTTTACCTGTCCTCTCTCCTCCTTGTCCTATCCCAGACCCACCCACTGCCAGGGGCAGGCTCTGGTGTCCCAAGGACTTTCTCATCAGATTTGAGCCTTAGGCCAAGCCCATTTTCCCTTTGACTCTGTTTCTTGGAATTAGGACATCAGGATGGAGAGAGGTGAGATTGCCACCCAGTCCTAAGGACCCAGAGACACAGAGGGAAAACACTCCTTACAGGCCACTTGGAGACCTCAGGGGTTGTGACCTCAGGCACATGGCTTGTAGGAATGGATTTTTGGGATTGGTGGGGTGGGGAGCATCTGGGATTAGGTCTCTGTTGAGACCAACTGTTGCCCTGAAGCAACCTGGTTTGGGACTGGTCCACATCCCCCTTTCTAACTTTCTACTATAAAAATTTCCAAGCACACACAAAACTATAGAATACAAAAGATTTTCATGGACCTATCATTTATCTTGGAGCTACGGTGGTGCAGTGGTTAAGAGCTCAGCCGCTAACCAAAAGGTCAGCAGTTCGAATCCACCAGCCACTCCTTGGAAACCCTATGGGGCAGTTCTACTCTGTCCTATAGGGTAGCTATGAGTCGAACTCAACAACAATTTTTTTTGTATCATTTATCTTAAACAACCATTATCATTTTGCCATACTTGTTTTACCTATCTTTCCGACCTCCCCCCTTCCCCACCGCCTTGGAGTATTTTAAAGCAATTCTAAGACATCATGTCATTTCACCCTTAAACGTTTCACTATACATTTACAAAAAAATAAGGATATTTTCTTACATAACTACAATGCCTCTGTCACCTTTAAGAAATTTAACAATTCCCCAATAATATCTAATACTCAGTCCATATTTAAATGTCTTTTTATAGTTGGTTGATTTGAATCAGGATTCAAATAAGTTCCAGTGATTGATTGTATTTAGATGTCTCTTAAGTGTCTATCTTCCTCTCCTTAATTTTTCATTGTAAAATAAAACTTAGATACAGAAAACACCTAAAGCAAATGTATGGTTTAATAAATTATTAGAAGACAAACACCTTGTAACCAACACTAGGTTAAGAGACAGAACTTTTCCATCCACCCCAGAAGAATCTATCCATGTGCCCAGTTCCAATTATAACCCTCTTCCTCCTACCAAAATAACCATTATCCTGCTATTTATAGTCATCTCTTCCTTGCATTTCTGTATGGTTTTATTTCCCAAATGTACTTCCCTAATGACTATGGTTTAGTCTTGCTCATTGAAAAAAATTGATATGTCTTTTAAGTTTCTCTCTTTTTAAAATTTTTATTGTGGTTTTATATATATATAATATATATAACATAGAATTTGCCATTTTAACCATTTTTAAGTGTACAATTCAGTGGCATTAATTACATTTGCAATGTTATGCAATCATCACCACTATCTATTTCCAAAACTTTTTCATCACCCCAACAGAAACTCTATATCCATTAAGCAATAACTCCCCATTTCCCCCTTCCCCCAGCTCCGGGTAACCTTTAATCTACTTCCTGTCTCTATGCATTTACCTAGTTTAGATATTTCATGTCAGTGGAATTATACAATTGCTTCTGGCCTCTTTCACTTAGCATAATATTTTCAAGGTCCATTTATGTTGTAGCAAGTTCTCTGTCTTTAACTTTTTATTTTGGAAGAGTTTTAGATTTATGGGAGACTTGCAATGATACTACAGAGAGTTCCCTATATCCGTCACCCAGCTTCCCCTTATATTAACATCTTACATAACAATAGTATATTGATAACAACTAAGAAATCAACATTGGTACATTACTATGAAGTAAACTCCAGATTTTATTCAGATTGTACCAGTTTTTCCACTGATTTTCACCATTTTCTGTTCCAGGATCCCATATTGCATTTAGTCATGGCTACATGTTGTTGTTAGGTGCTGTCGGGTTGGTTCTGACTCATAGCGACCCTATAGGACAGAGTAGAACTGCCCCATAGGGTTTCCAAGGAGCTGCCGGTGGAATCGAACTGTCAACGTTTTGGTTAGTAGTCAAACTCTTAAACGCTATACCACCAGGGTTTCCGTGTCTATGTAGTCTCTTTCAATTTGTAAGAGTTTCTTGGTCTTTCCTTGTCTTTCATGACCTGCCAAGAGTTTTGAAAAGTTTAAGTCTGCATTTACAAAATATATGTATAGTTTCCATCTATTGAAACTGTTCCAAAAAACAGTTTAAGTCTGTTTTAATCTATAGGTTCACCCTCCATCCCTTTCTTTTCCTTATGATTTATCTGTTGAAGAGCTCATGGCATTTGACCTGTAGAATTTCCCACAGTCTAAATTTTGCTGATTGCATACTCATGATGCAGTTCAGCATGCTCCTCTGTATTTCCTGCAGATTGGCAGCTGAATTCAAACACTGGATCAGACTCAGTTTTGATCCTTTTGGCAAGATCTTAATTTGCTTTTAATATAGAACAATCCCCCTTCCTACCCTCCTTTTTTCCCATGCCATTAATTTGTTGAAGTAAGCCAGTCTCCCAGGTCTCAGCACCAGCTTCCATGATCAGGATGGGGTGTGGAACGTGATTCCTAGTTGAGTCCCAAATACAGGCCAAAGTGGGACAGAGGAAGCAAAGCCCCATTCTTCTCTCTCATTCCCATCTCTTACCCTGCTGTAACTTTAAATCTATTAAAGCAAATTTGGTTGTGATTTTTTTTTTTTTTTTTGCTTTTCCCACCTAAAGACTGTATGCTTCTAAAGGGATAGGGACCATGTCTTATTTGTCAGTGTTTGTTCCTAATGCCCAGAAAATCCTAGGCACTTAGTGAGCATTTTGGTAAGGAGCCCTGGTGGCGCAGTGGTTAAACGCTCGACGGCGAACCGAAAGGCAGGCAGTTCGAACCCACCAGCCACTTTATGGGAGAGAGATGTGACTGTCTGCTTCCGTAAAGATTTACAGCCTTGGAAACCCTTTGGGGCAGTTCTACTCTGTCCTATAGGGTCACTATGAGTCTGAATTGACTTGAAGGCAGTGGGTGGGATCAAGATGGTTTCTTACATGTAATGAGATCACTGGAGTTCCGTGGAGGAGTATATCCTGGGGCTTTGAGTGGGGGACAAGAGGCTTACAGAAATAGAGGAAAGGGACACGTTACTAAGAGGAAGAGGCAAGAATGAGATAAAGGAAGGCAAGTGCTGACTTAAGGCAAGTGCTGACCTTTCAAGTCAATTAGGCAAAAGAGCTAGTTCCACATACTTTGCCTCCCCCACACCCAGGGAGCCTCTTACTCCATGTCTTCCTGTTGATTGGATACCAGCTGGGCCCCAGAGCAAATGTCAGCACTCAGGTATTGCAGCCCTACCCTACCTATGTGTTGACAGATCCCTGTGGTTGAGGGTGGGGACTAGCCCCTGGCAATACTGGAGATATTAGCACTCTGTCTTTCCAGAATAGAACTTTCTGGACCTATATTAATTCTCACTCCACACTGTCTCTCATTCTTGCAAACTGTCTTCTCCAGGAAGTAAGCCTCTGGGTTAAAATTTAATAACGTGTGCATTTTCAGTTCTTCCCCTCTATTTCCTCCTTCCTCCCACAAAAAGTATGTAAATTGCTGAAAAGACACTCAAGCTACAGAGACTTGATATTTTTTCCCTTTTATCAGCGGTTCCTAACTCTTGCTTTAGTATTTTAATGTTTAAAACGTCATACGCCTCCACATGATAATAGTCGTATTTTTAATATCCATTGATTGAGAAAATATATAATAAACTAAAGCCACTATGGGTATGCATCATGACAGTATTCACATACATTTGAAAAAAACATGTGCAAGGCATATTATTTATCATTCTAGACAATGTTTGTGCCTTGTAGGGATTTCCAGAGCCGTTGTAATAACTAAGTTACTCCCTCCAATCTTCAGTAGTCTGCTGCCTACAGGTTGGGAATAATGAAATTGGTTTGTTGTTTTTACCTGATTATAAAAGAAATCCATGTAAATCATAAAAATTTCAACTACTTAGGAAAGTATAAAGAGAACAAAAGTCACTCATAATCTCATTATAGGGGCTCTGCCGTTTCCCTATCTGTTCAGCCTGTCATGCAGTGTCACTGGCCAACTTCAGTTTATCCCTCAAGTAACCCTACCTGCCTTCTAGGCCTGTTTTCTGTGCTAAACAATTTGACAAATTCGCGCTGTATGGTGTGTGCGGCAATAGCCAAGTTGGGGGAGTCAGGGATGGAGGATTTGTTTAGGGTACTGTGATAGCTGCAGGAATGAAAGTCATGGTTTGCAAAGAAAGAGCTGTCCAATCACAGAATGTGGCTAGGCAACCACTAACTAGAAAAGATGCTTGTTTCTCCAGTGTGATTGGACTCTGAATGATGAGGCCGATCATTCTGAAGAGGAACAGTTTATTGGCTGCAAACTCTCTGGTGCCTATGCACACTCAAGGGATTATTTCTAACTCACAAATCCAGGAACAGCTGCTTGTGTCCACCAGGTAATAGCCATTCATCTCATATATTATGTCCTTGATACAGTTGTTTACCCCATGGGCTCTTTGATGTTGCTGGAATATCTTAGTTTCCCACCCTTTTCACCTTTGCTGCCAGAGAGACCACCAGAGTCATAAAGAATCATAAAGTTCTTCATCTTATCTTCTGGGAGAAGCTAGCTGGTGTGGATTGCCTTTTCCTAGGCCCCACCTTTATCTTAAAAGTTACCTTGAAAACCCTATGGAGCGTTCTACTCTGCCCACAAGGGGTCTCCATGAGTTAGAATCAACTCGATGGCAACTAACAACAGCACTTGCCAACAGCAGCTTGAGGGTGGATGAAGAGGGCTTCCCTTCACTGCAAGGTAGTGGGGAATTACATCAGCTTCTATGGTCCTTTAACCTGTTCA